ATAGGGCCAGAGACCTCCGAAGCGGTGGACGGCGAAGCGGTCTGCTCGCCTTTGCTTGCCCTGGGTGGCGTGATCTCCACAGCAGCTGCCCCTGACATGACCACTGCTTGCCGTCTAGTCACCTAGGCTGGAGCTCGAGACAAAAAGGCAGGCTTCGGAAGCCCAAGCAGCAGCAAGGCATGCAGTACCATTGTTTGAAGCAGCAGTAGCTCCACCCTCGCCTTCTCCAAGTTGTCAGCCACCACTGCGAAGTTGGCAGGAGGGGCACCCTGAGAAATGTCAACATAGGCTACAGTGTGAACATAAGACTAGGCCAGCAAACTTCGAGACCAAGCATGAGAGACAGCAACAGAAGCCCACGCCTTGTCCTCGATCATCGCATCCACAACCACCGGCAGTGGATGCTCCAGCGCCTCATCGGGCAAGCTGGCCAGGACTGGACCCATAAGTACATCACAGGCCTCCATGGGAATGGTCTGCACCGCCGCAATGTCAGCAGCCGGAACAGCAACCTAGGCAGTAGAGGATGCCACTAGCCCAAGGCCCAAGTGAGGTCGCACACGCTGGCACTGCAAGGTCAAGGCCGAGAAAGGGGCTCAAGGCCCGGACAGCGGGAATCGGATGTGGGTCGTCAGATGACACCTGTGCCAAGATGCCAGAGAAGTACCAGTCCAAAGAGACGAATGCAAGGCAGCGGCCATGTCTCTGTCATGTGGATGTTCATCAGGGACCTGAAGCAGGAGAGAACGTTCAGGCCACGGTACAGCGAGAGCCAGAGGGGATGCAGGGGAGCACGCCATGGCCTTGTCCTCGGTCGAGGGATCGCCAACCTGGATCCGCAAGGTTGAAGGCAGCAGCATACCCCAAGGCTGCAATCGCATGTATCCGAGGTCTGTGCAGTCAATGCCGCCAACGACGAGGGCTCCTAGCAGACAGTACCGACAAGGGAAAGCAGCCAGACCGAACCCAACTCGGAATGCACAGCCTTGCAAGGATCAGGAGCATCAGCATCGGCCTGCTCAAGGTTCGCAATGGTAATCACAGCAAGAGTTCAGTCAGGGGGGGCCCGCGAGGCAAAGGAAGAACCAGCTCAGGCCAACCCCGAAGCCAGGGCAACGACCGTGGCAGATGCAGTGGTAGGTTCCTGGGCCTGAAGCAGAAGAGGGTCTAAGAGCAAGACTAGAGCAGCAACGTACCAAGTCCAAGGTATCCAAGCTCCAGGCCACAGACGTCGGTGCAGGATGTGTGGAGACCTGATCAGAGCAACTGTAGGGAGAGAAGGAGGTAGGGAGACCCATCGAGAAAGCAGCAAAGGCAAGCACTCCCATCACCAAAGAATGCAGTCGCAACGGCTCGAGTAACCCCGAAACCCGAAACCGAACGAAAATACAACGCTCGGGCAACCTCCGCCAAGCATGCCATCGCACTCGCAGGAACCTAAGGCAGGGCAAGGAGCAGGGAAGAGTCGCGCCAACCATCAGAGGCATCCTACCCGCAAACAACACAAAGCCGGCAACCCCCCAACCTCGACAGGCACGGGTTCCGAGATCCCGGCCAAAGCATCTCGTTCCATGTCACCGATGACCTGCACAGGTTAAGGATGATTATGAATGCAGAGAGGGCTGAGGGTTGGTCGGGAGACTAGGGGGAGCCTGGAGTAGGGCGGGCTTTGGGCTCTGGGGTTCCAGTTTCTGGGTTTGGGCTTCGGGGTTTGGGGTTTGGGTTTTGAGGTTTGGGTTTCGGGCTTTGGGGTTTGAGGTTTGGGTCTAGGGGTTTGGGTGTTCGGGTTTCTCCCTCCTATAGGTTTGGGCTGGCTTGCAACGGGGGCTGCCTGGGTTTCGGTTCGGGTACCCTGAATTCCTTAAGGAGGGGTTGCTAGCAGGGAAACCAAAAGGAAGGGCAGGAGGCCAAGAACCCAAACCCCGAGCACCCTGAACCCGAAGCCCAAACCCCGCTCAAACGACCCAACCAAAGCCCACAACACACACACATACAAGCAATGGGTTCGGGAGAGGAAGACGGAAGCCCAGACCACCCCCCCCCCACCCCGTATGCCTTTTTGTCAAAAACCCAACCAAAGACGAAACAAGCTGCCGGCCGTGTGTGCATCGATATGCCCAAACTCCCGGCCTATGCCTAGGTTGATGGGGCTGCGATCCCGAGTCTAGACCAATCCCCCATGCACACACGGCGTATGCGGTGAACCGCGGTGAACCACACCCCTCGTTTGCGCTGCAACGGCCTCTGCTGTGCTGCTGTGTGCTGTGCTGTGTGGCTGTGTCTGTTGCTGTGTGTTGCTGTGTGTGTGTGTGTGTGTCTGTCTCTCGGCCCTACGCATCTACTCAGTGCTCATGTCCTCCGTCGCCCTTCTCGTCATCATCGGAACCCGTAGTTCAAGGACTCACTCATGCTAAAGACCACGCCATTGGTCATCCGCATGTTGGCCTCCAAAGCTGACAGCCTGTTGAGCACATCCTGCTTCCAGCCCTTCCTGACCTTC